AGGTCCCCTCCATCCTGTGGACGCCTGCGGCTGAATCCTACATCGCGGGAGGGGCGGGCAGCGGAGGGCGGTGCTTCTGCCAGGAGGCTCTGGGATGAGGTGCGGGAGCGTCCTGGGCTGAGGTGGCTGCTCAGCTGAGGTCCTGGGTGCTGGGCACAGGGGCTCCTTGGTGAATCAGTTGCTGACCGCTCTGTGGGACTCTGACTGCATCTCGTCTACCTGGAGAGAGAGTGAGGAGGAGTGCACACACCCTCTACAGCCTACACTTTGACATTCAGTTGACCTTGCACACGCCCACACAAGATGACCAACTGTGAGCACGCTTCATAACCAGAATCCCATGTTCCTCCCGTGGGGTGTGTGGTGGCTTCAGGGGAGCTGTCTGAGGTAGAACATGGAACCCAAGTCATCCCGTCTCTCAGAAAAGAAACACTGCTTCAAGACCCTGCTTTCCGATAGCGATTAAACGCTTGCACTCCTAAACACACCATTTAACATCTCCTCTGCATAGTTTTTTCCACTTATTTTACTGTCTATCTCACTATATGGCTGAACAACATTGCTAATGTAGTTATAACTCTTGATGTCAATAATAGTGAATTTATAATAGAAATATATGTAATTTCAAAACAATTAATGAACAAGAGTAATGCAAAATCTCATATTCTATTAGCCAAATTTAGAAAGTAAGATGGGATGAATCACTCTTCCCTTGGGTCCGGGTGTGCTGATAATTAGAACATTCGAAGGCACGGCGCTCTGTTACCACCAAGCCAGTGACATTTATTCTTTGTGCTGTTACACACTAAATGGATAAAAATGAAGTCAGTGAACCTAAATGGATCCAAGTGAACCAAATCAGAAAAAAATAAGTCAGCAGGAGCAAAATGCAAGTAAAATACTGGGCCCCCAGCTGAGTTTGAACCTCTGTCCTGTGTTTCACTGAGGTGGGGACACAGCGTCCGCTGCACCCCTCCGTCTTGTGTCCTACTCGGCCCCGTCCCACTGACGGACGCCCCTTTGGAAGCCACGCGAGCCGTGCAGGCTCATCACTGTTGTTACACTTTGGCTCCTGTGTGCAACCCTCCTCTGAGAATAACACTTTGATTTATGTCCTTGGGGATACACTGCTGTTTTCCTCCACTGCCTTCCCTTTCCTTGCCTTCCTGTCGTGCATTGTCATGGTTTAGATCTACAGACCCCCTGCATCTCCCGTGTGCCTAGAGGGGGTGACTGCTCGTGGCGAGGGCTTCACTCACTGATGAGTTCAGCAGCCGACTGTGCCAGTAGCAGGTGGGGCCTGGCTGGAGATGTTCATGGTGGCATCGCCAGGATGGGCACATCTCCTCTCTCTGCTTCCTGGCCACCATGATGAGAGCAGTTCTGCCCCACTGTGCTCCTGTGCCACGTGGTTTCCCAGCTGGCTATGGACTGTCCCATCTAAAATCGTGAACCCAAATAAACCTCTCCTCTTTTAAGTTGCAGGTGTTGGGTGTTTTATCCCAGCAATGAGAAAGTGACAAAGACACAAATGTCAGTTTACTTAAAGTTGTGTGTTTTAGTTGGTGGCATGCAGCTATAATAAAATAGCTGGAGCTGGTGCTTTACAAAGAAGAGAGGTTTGTTCAGGTCACAGCTGTGGCAGTTCAGGAGCTTGGTGCTCACCTCTGCCTGGCTCTAATATGGAGGTGATGTCCCTAGGTGGAAGGTGAGGGTGAAGAGTGGGATTCCAGGAGTGCTGGGCTCCTATAAGAAGATCTGTTCTTGGAGACTAATACAGTCCCAGGAGATCTTCATGAATCTGTTTGGGAGTGGGGGGCTGACCCCTAATTGCCTCCCCTGGACCCACATCCTAAGGTAACTCTGAGTCCATGCATGGCTCCTGCCTCAGGGTCACCCCGCGGGCAGAGACCTGTGGTCACCACCGTACCTCATCCTGGAGGGACCTGGGTCTGTGCCACTCCTCATTCATCAGCCACACATAACCAGAAAGATGATGGTGGGGTCTTTGTCTCCAGAAGCAGAAGAACGCTGGGAATCAGTAAACCTGTGTCAGGGCTTGTGTCTAGATGTCCTCCAAATCCTCATGCGGTCATGGGGAAAGGATTTTCAGAGGTAGCTGAATCTAGGATTTATGACTGATTCATGGCCCAGTGCTGGGATTAAAGGTGTGAGTGATACCCCTGCCCCAGGGCAGGCAGCCTGCATACAATATAAGGGACAGAAAGAGACTTGTCCTCTCTCTCTCCCTTGTTGCTTTTGCTGTCTTCCACCACCATGAATGGTTGCCCCTCTGCCATGTGCCCCCCTGCTTTGGAGCCAGCTGATTATGGACAGCAACTTCTACAAACCGTGAGCTAAATAAACCTTTCCTTCCTTAACTTTGGACGTCAGGTATTTTGTCTCAGCAATGAGAGACAAAGTCTCTTGGAAACAGTCTGTCCTCATGACTTTCCTTCAAACACATTTTTGAAAGCATAAACCCAAACCAAGACCTGGTGCTTTGTGCGGGGCCAGAATGGTGTTAACATAGGTAATTGTACGACCATTCAGACCTTAGAATATGGTGTGGAACTGGTGTAGTGATTGAGTTAAAAAGGAAGAGAAGGTGATTTAGAAAGTAGAGAGGAATCAAGTTGGCCGAGTGTGACGCAGAGCCAGGGAGGGAGGGGGACCATGAGGTGCACATCTATTAGAGCTCAATATCCAGCAAGGCATTTTTACAAATATTTTGATGCTTAGTAAACCCCATGAGAGAACTTCCACATCTGCACAGAATATGTAAGGAGTGGGAGGCCAGTGCTCCTATTAATCAATAAAGAAAAAGTGAATGATAAAGCTCAGGTGGGCATCCCAGGATGGCAAGGGTGATTACAGGGTCCCAAGTCTCCTCAAAAGTGTCACCTCCAAGTGGGTCAGTGCAGGCAGAGCAGGAAGTGGGGCACATGTGTCTTTCATTGGTGGTGGAGGGCTCCCTTAGGGTCCATGGTGATCAGTTCAGGATGCACCTTAGATCCCCCGCTCTAAGGGGGAAGAAAAGTACTAAAAACATGATGGAGACACAAGGAAGACAAAATAGAATGATAGGAATATTTGATGAGTGGAAATACAAGTAAGAAAAGATGAAGGAACAAAGACTTGATGAATAAACACAACGCTGCTAGGAAGGAGGAGACCCAAACACAGCGGCACCTCTGCTCATGTTGGGTGGGACTGGGCCAGGCGCTCTGGTTGAGAAATGAGCAGCAGTGTACATTTCACTCCAGAGAGCCCCAGCACGGGGTGTTTGTAAAACAAGCACTATAAATAGAAGGAAACACTTAGCAGGGAAGGGAAAGGGTGGCCACAGCATGCATCGTGCAAATGCAGCTGAAGAAGGCTCCGAGCCCTCTCATCCCAAACAACACAGACCCTGAAGCAGGAAGGTGGCAGAGGTAAGGATGGGCGCTTGACAGTGGTGAACGCATCAGCTCTAGAGGAGAGAGTATCCTGCACTTGGTGTGCACCGGGGAACAGGGCTGCGGCTGTGTGAAGGAGGACATTACAGGAATAAAAGAAGACACGCGGGTGAGTGTTTAACCGACATTCTCACACTGTATGTCCGTCACTAACACTACCTGAAAAGACTCCTGAAACATACAAAATACATACTTTCTTCAGTTGTTAAGCTCAATGCAATATTTTCTCAACCAGACAAAATGTTATGCTAAAAAGCATATCTTCATGAATTTCAGATAACTGAAAATAGACTTTATATATATATGTATATATATATATTTAATTTTATTTTAAAGAGAGTTAAAAAAAGAACAATAGCAAAATGCCAACAACATATATACATATATATACAATATATACACAATATATATACACACTATATATTTACACACATATACATACATATATATGGATATACATATATACAATATATATACTATATATATACACAACATATATACAATATATATATACACACAGAAGGGTGTCTGGGAAAGCTGTACTGCTGATGTCTAATGGTTTATTGAAAGGAACAGTTAATGCTTTATTTATTTATTTATTTGACCAATTTTTAATGCTAATATCTGATGATCTGAACAAGTAATCTGAAGACAACAATATGCAACATAACAACCATTGTTGATTTCCTATCATCTTGTTTGGTGAAACTCTGTATTGTTTATAATTTTTTGTTTTTATTTTTTATTCTCTATAATGGTTTGATTAATCTTGCATTCTTACATCTGGTAATCTGACCAACTTCAGTGAAGATAAAAATATGCAATATAACAACCACTGTTAATCCTTATTTCTTTGTTCTAGAGTTTATATTTTTTATCATGATGAAATTAAACTGGAAATCAATTACAAAAAATGGTGAGGAAACTCCCCAAATTTGAGAATTCTGGATCACATTTGAGATTCTCCATGAATTTGAGAAAAAAAGTCACAGTGGAAATTAGAAAATGTGGGAGCTGAATGAAATTTAAAACACTAAACATTGAAATTTGTGGGTACAGTAAAGCAAAACTTAGAGGAAATTGACAACTTTTAAATGTATATGTTAAAATTAATAATCAACTATTTTTTGGAAAGAGCCATGAAAAGAAAAACATATGAACCTAAAGAAATCAAAGGAAAAAAAGATCAAAAATCAAATAGAGAGCATATTTGCCTCTCTTATTACAGACAAAAATCAGTACAGGTGGAAGTGTGCTCTATGGAAGTTGGCTAATTTATTCATTTTCTAGGAAGATTAGTTTAAGGAGAAGAAGGAAACATGTTATCTACGTCAGTCATAAAATAGGAACAATCACTGAAGGTCAGTAGATGTTAATGTGGTATAAAGAGGACATTGAGAGCAACCTTATGGCTATAGGTTTTACATAAAGGATACAGATGAATTCTTCTTCTTCTTTTTTTTTTTTTGTCTTTTGTCTTTTCTTCTGGTACCAGGAATTAAACTCACGACCTTACGCTTGCCAGGCAGGCACTTTGCGCCTGAGCTAAATCCCCAGCCCTTGATGAGTTATTCTTTAAAAAACCACATTTTCCAAACTGACATGAGAAAATCAAGAACTTGGATTCACAATTAACCAAGACAGCATAGCCCCAGAAAATGAACAAACCAGGTACGGATGGTTCCCCCTGAGCGCTTTCCGGGGTTTGAAGAGGAAGCATGCCAAATTTCTACAGACCCTGTCAGAGAAGGGAAAGAGAGCGCTCGTCCGCTCATTCACCCAGACCCCAGACCCCAGACCCGGGGCTCCGCAGACCCCACCCACAGGCATTGCGGGGAAGCCGGCCACCAGTGCGGGAACCAGAGCAGCCTCCTGTCTCCCCCCGATGGGACACTGCTGGGCCTCAGGCCTGGGCGCTCCGGGCGCCCGGGTAGCTCTCCCTTCCTGCGGACGAGGAAGCACAGTCTGCGTCGCGACTGCAGAACTGAGTCCACCACCTGCGCACCTCTGGGTGGGGTGCCACACCCCCTCACGGTCCCTGCCACTCTCCACCCTCCACCCAGCTGCCCTCTAGCCTCACAGGGAGGTGGCAGGTCACGGTATCTGCGCTGTCTCCCCGTCATCAAAGTCAGGGCATAGTGAGCGTGGGGTCTCAGGGGCTCCTGGACCGCCTCTAGGCCACCCCGTGAAACAAAGCTTGCGTTTCTCATTTCTGCCCAGCAGCCACAGCCGCATCCTCTTCTGGTCTTCTTGGCACCTTTCTACCCGGGGCACCACCTGTGAGCTTCTGGCCCTCTCCCTCCCTCGCTGGGGCTCAGCAGGGCACTTCGTGGGTCAGACCTCGGACAGAGCATGCCCGGCCCTGTCCCCTCCTATGCTGAGCCCTCCCCACCCCACCACCCTTGCTAGGCCTGGGCTCTGCCTGGCCGCCTCCTTGTCTCCCTGTGTTCCCTGTGGCCCTGCCTCCCGCTGCCAGCTTTGCCTCGAGGCCGGGCGTGGCTCTCTCCTGTGAAGGCCCTCGGCATGCAGTGGCTTCCCCTTCTTCGCCGACTCTGCCATGCGGTCATCACTAGCATTTTCTTGCTGTGTGTATGTGCCTCCTCCGCCCTTGGAGCTAACCTCTGGCCATCTCCACAAATGGGTGGCCTACAGAATGGCAGCCCTCCCTGACCCTGGGTGTGGCACTCTAAGCCCCAGCAAGGCTCCCGGAGGCACCTCGGCTGTCAGCTGGGTGTTCCTCCGAGCCATGTAGAGCAGTCATAGTCAGCACTGCCCGCCTCCTCCTCCCTCAGAGCCAGCCTCTCTCTCCTCACTCAGCCCAGCCTCCTGCAGGTCCCTCTAGCACCCAGTAGTGGCCTTGCCATGCAGGCTTTGGGTATTCCACGTGGGGTATTCTGGCCACAAGTGAGGGATGGCTTTCCTGGGGACAGCAGGGTGGGGGCTGACTGCTGGGCAGTCCTATTGGGTGTCCGTGGGATGTTGGCTCCAGGCTGAGTCTGTGGCAGTTGTCTATGGGGCCCGTGAGAGGGATGTCACACACCTCTATTCACCAACATGCCCAGTGCCTCCTCTGAGCCAGGCCCTGCTGATTGGGGCAACTGTAGCAGGAGGACCTGTGGGTGGACAGGAGTGAGTGACCTGGGCCAAGTCCTCAGCACCAGTGGTAGGGATGGAGGGACTGGTGGATCCTTCTCATGTGCGCTGCTTTGACAGAATGAGAAATTTTGGCTGGGTGCAGCTGTCTTTTCTCCTAATCTGGTGGGGGACATGCGCCCCCGTCAGGCTGAGGGTCCCTCACATCTAGGGCTTCCTGCTTGTCCCAGGACCTGGGCCCCTTTCTGGCACACAGGACTGCATTGTAAGTAGCTGGTGAGTTAAATCAGCAGCAAAAAGAGCCCCTCCATTCCACCCTGGCTCCCCTCATCCGTGCCCTTTTCCTACCCTGAACCTTGACATTCCCAGGCCTGGCCTTCTGACCCCTACCCCCAGTCCAGGAGCAAAGCCGCAGGGCAGGGCAGGGACAGTCACCTGCTCCCACGGACCGCTTCTCCAGGACAGCACACACACAACAGGGCAAGTTCTGTCCTGTTGGCTGGAGGAGGGGAGGGGGCAGCTGGGGGTCCTGCCCTGCCTGCAGCTGCTGGCCGTGACCATCATTTGGGGAAGCAGTGAGTCTCTGAGGTCCAAAGACCAGAACACTGTCACAAGACCTGAACAGTGGGAGAGGCCAAAAAGCCCTGTCGAGCGGGAAGGAGCTCAGGTCCGTGCTTCTCCCAGAGCCACAGCCAAGCCCAGAGGGGTTTCTGGAGCAGGGCTGGCCATGGCCGCCGGTGCCCGCTGGCGCCCTCCATCCTCCCAGGAGCCTCCGGACCCAGTGGATCGGACGTCCTGCAGGTTTCTCACAGCCGCTGATCCTTCCGCTTCTCCCAGGGTCTGTTAGAGTTTAAAGGTGCTGATGCTGGGAAACCCGCCCAGGGCTGTGAGGCCCCAGCCATGGTCCCAGCCACAGTCCCTCCTTGGAGCGGAGGGGCAGGGTGCTGCGCAGTCCCCAGCCTCCTGGTGGCAGGGTGGGACATGGTGGTTGGGCTGGGGAGGGAAGGCCAGGGTCTTGCTTTGTCCACGCGCTTGTGGCTGCGCTCGCGGTGGTCTGTGATTCACTGGTGTGGAGCTGGCATGGAGCCCTGATCCACATGCAAAGCGGCCAGCGTCTCCACCACCTCTCCGCGACCTTCAGAGCAGCTCAGCCTCGCTGGGCCCTGGAGCGTGAAGACGGAGTGTGGAGGGCGAAGTGAAATGAGAATCAGCCCCGGACACAGCCTTTGTGGAGCGCCTGAGCTGCTGGTCCCGCTCTGCGCCCTCACACCTTGGGCAGGAGGGAAGCCCTTCTGCGCCTCTGTCTGAAAGTTGCCCACACGGTGGCCCTCAGCCCAGAGACTGTGTCCAACGCACATCAGAGGGAAGCAGGTGTTGTTTGGGAGGAAGGCGGAGCAGGGTCGCCTGTCTCGGTGCACACAGGGGAGTGGAGCCGCGTTTATTCACCAAGGAAAACCTCCCGCACCCCGATTAGCAGACGGGCGAGTGGGGCAGACCGGGGGAAGAGGCCGCCTTTCCTGCTGCTGTCGGGAACAATGTGCTCTGAAGCGCGGCATCTGCTCGCCCATCTACAATGCGCTTGCATTATTAAACAGGCTGCTTAATAATTTAGGTGGAAATAAACCCGCAGCACCGAGGAAAGTGGTCTACCCCGCAGTACAGTAATGAAATGCTGCTGAGCTTGAGTTTGGAGGCATGCAGGCGTCCAGTTAAACTGACTGATGACCCCTCGGTGGCCACAGAGAAAGAGCCCGTGACAAATGCTCCAAGTGAGCTGCCTCCGCACATCTCCAGAGGCCGGGGACAGAGACTGCGCCAGCCTCCTCCCTGGGCCTCCTCCACGGAGTCCACCGGGCTTTCTTCTGTCCAGCATTCAGGGGCACCATAGCTCAGAGGAAGCCCCAGGGCAACACCTTGATGCCGCCTGGCCTGGGGCCTCCTGGAGGCCTGTTTCTGGTCTGTGCTCAGCCAAGGCCAGAATTGAAGAGTCCTTCATCTCCCCAGCAGGCACTCAGCGCTTCCTCCCTGGAACCCAGGCAGAACTGTGATCCTCCTCTCCCGGAGCAGCTTCTTACTCACTCTTTGGCTCTGGAGAGGCCCTAGGGTCTGATAGGGCCACCCTGGCCCTCCTGGGGTGGGCAGCTCTTCACAGAGATGTGGCTGTTGCCCCTAAGGCTGGGGATTCAGGGACCGGAGTGACCCTGCTGACAGCAGGGGTGCCAACCTGGGCACCAGTGTGGCTGCCAGCCTGACCAGGAGGACAGCAGGGCAGAAGATGGGTGGAGGAAAGTTGCTTGAGGTGCTGTCCAGGGAACGCGAGTGGGCAGAGAGGCCACACCAGGCAGTGCCCCGGAGAGGAGGAGCCATGGTCAGTGATCTTCCGGTGATGCGGAGAGCGCCCCCTGCAGGCCGGGCTGCACCAGGTCGGCTTGGAAGTCTCTCAGGCTCCTGAGACCCTTGGTGCCTGTCCTGTGCTCGTCACAGTCCCGGCCACCAGCCCTGAGAGCAGTGCGCACGGCCACCCAGCCTTCACAGGAGCGGTGTGCAGCTGCTTTGCGGGGCTGGAACGGGATCTGAATCCGGAGCACCTGGTGTTGGATGCTCTGGTTCTCACGCCAACGGCAGGAAGCAGGACAGCCGGGGCCGAGGGGCCACCCCACTGCTCACGAGAGGACCAGCCTTGGGCCTGTCACTGCCCGCAGACACTCTGGACATGGAGGCTGTGACAGGGTGACAGGGGACAGAGCCAGTATGCAGGAGTTCCCATGCGGGAGGTGCCAGCCGGCTGGGCCGGCATCCACCCGTAGAGGAGCTGGCTGCCTGGAGCAGAGAGGGCCCAGCGCGTAGGGCCTGCTGGGGTCGGGGAAAGCCCGGGACATTTCCACCAGCCAGGGACATCGCTCCAAAAGCTGCCTCTCCTGGTGGCCGTGGTCAGCCGACTCTGATGAGAACACAGCGGTCTTGACGACAGAGGCTTGGAAATGACCCCCATGTGCACACCCAGAGCTGAGACTCTGACCCAAGGGTTGTGACAGCAGAGACGACACACTGTGGAGACAGAGAAGCCAAGCTCGCGCCCAGTTCCGGCCACCCACCAGACATCTGCAGCCCGAGGGAAGAGTCAGTGTTTCAGTGAGAGTGGCCGTCAGGTCCCCAGAAGTAGTCAGGCAGCGGTCGTCACACCCCGTGGGTCGGAGGCGTCACCGCAGCAAAGCCAGGGGACCAGCACAGCGGCTGTGCGGCTCCAAAGAGGGGGACTGCGCATAAATGATTCGGAAGTGACCCAGAGCCGGGACACCAGAGGCTTGGGTCAGTCTTCCCGGGAACCACCTTCCCTCTGTGCAAACACCCCAGCTTTGTGGTCTGATCAGGTTCTCATGCGGGTCCTCACACCCCGCTGCAGAGGTACGGTCCACTGCTGTTCTGTGGTTCCAGCCTCTGTCCTTCCCCTGTCCCTCTGTGGTGTCCCTGTCCCACGCTCTGCTCAGGAGTGGACAGGTGAACTTCCTGTGCGGTGCCTGTGCTGGCTGGGGTTGTGGTTCCGAGGGTTGTAGGGACCTGGTCTCTTGGGGGCAGTGGCCGAACAGAGGGTCCAGGAAGATGGAGGTGGAGGCTGGGGGTGTGACTCAGGGAGGTTAGCAGAGATGGAGCCATTGTGCCAGCACTCGGGCTTGCAGGTACTGGAGCGATCCCAGGAGTCTCTGTGCGAGCTGAGGGTGTTGGGGTGTAGCTGAGGACGCTGGGGAGCAGGGTGGTCCTGGGCCAGGTAGCTCCTGTACAGACTGGTGTCTAGAAGGTCGCTCTGAGCATGTGTCGCTCCGCGCCCTGTGGGGGAGGGGAGAGTATGGGCTTCTGCAGGGCTGTTCCCCAAGGGTGCAGGTATGGGAGGCTCCAGGAGGGGGATGCTCGGGAGGGGGGTGCAGGGCTGAAGGCTCCTGCTGGATGCTGGACGGATAGGGATGCCCTCAGGGAGGCAGGCAGGATTCTGTGCCAGGCACCGAGGGCCACCGCTGGGGGCCTTGAGGCGCTGACGGCAGATGCTTCCCTGAAGAGCTACTCAGTAACTTTGGGGTTTGCTGTCTATGGTGATCACATGAGTGTATGACAGAAGCCACGCCCGGCTTCTGTTGCTCGTCTGCTGGTGCACGTTTGGATTGTCCCACAGTTTGGCTCGTACGAGCGGGCTGCGCACCTTTTCACTGAATGTGGAATATCGTTCAGTTGTGAAGAGGAATGAACACTGAGCGTCTATGAGCTGTGATAAAACGTAATAGTGAGGGCCGGGGAGCCAGCTCAGCGGCACTGTGCCTGCCTGGTAAGCGCAAGGTCCTGAGTTCGATCCCCGGTACAAAAAAAAGTAAGAGTGAATGCTGCTGCTCAGGGTCACCCCTCAGAAAGGCAGCTCGTGAAAGCGTAGTGCTGTGTTCTCGTCTGCCTTAGACACCCGACCTGGCATCCTGTGACTTCTGGCTCTTCCCCAAAGTCGAAATGACCATGACAGGGCAACGTTTTGAGTCCATTCACAACAGATGCAGCCAGGACAGCACAGCTAAAGACACCCGAGAAAGAGGACCCCGAGCCGCTTCAGAGAGTGTGGAGGACGATGGGGTGAGTGTGTTCGAAGTGAGGGGAGAGTCTTGAAGGGGATTCATGGCCACGTGTCTTTTACTGAATACAGTTTTAAAGACCTGACGTACTTTTCCATCACACTTGTAAATAAACATGTAGGGGTCCAGGTGCAGCGTGCTGGTTTAGTCACTGCCGAGCTGTTGCAGTGGATCCTTTTGCACTGGGGACTTGAGGACTTTTTTTGTGGTGGAAACAGATGGATGATGGGAGCACAGCCCCCCTCGCCTTGTCCAGGGCTCTGTGTCTGTCGGGGTGTGGCACATGTCACACTCAATTGCCCCAGATGCCCAGAAACCCACCTTCCCTGCCGTGAGCAGGTGGCCGGGCTCCTGGGGCCCTGTCTCTCCCCTGGTGGCTGCAGGTCCGCATCCAGCCAATTATGTGCTGAAATGAGATCTGGGGCTGGCAGATGGCCCATCCTCACCGCAGCATATGGATGCCCAGCCCACCGAGGCTACCACGCTCCTGCAGAAACAGAGCACCTGAGATATTCGCCCTGCTGATCAAAGCATGGAGCTCCCTACCCACCATGAACATAAGCCCAAGACCTCACTCGGATATTCAGTCATGGACAAGGAGCAGGGAGGAGTGGACTATGGGGTGTTCATGGCTTGGGATCAGGTGAGAAGCAAAGGTGTGCTCCTCACGGCCACATGGCCCAGAATGGCCAGCCCTTGCCCATGGACACCGCGTGACATCACACACCCTACCCACCCTCCCTGTGACACAGGAAGGGCTCCCTCTTGGCCAAGCTCCTCCTGGGCCCTGGGATCTCTTCTTCGTTCCTGCTCTTGGTCACTTTCCAGAAACGTTCACCCTGACACCACGGGTCCTCTTCCCTAGCCCCTCCTTCTGCCCTCAACAAGCTTAACTCACACCCACTCCCCAGATCACAGATCCCCTCGATCCCACCAAACTCTTCCCCGCAGAGCACAGCCTCCCCTTCCTGTGGTCCCTGCACCTGCACTGAAGGCCACACACCCCTGTCTCTGGAGCTCTGTGACCTCCTGCCTGCATGGCCTCAGTTTCCCTGCACTTTCTACTCAGTCCAGCACCAGCGGGCGCCCCACTCACTGCCCATCCTTGCCACGTCCCCTGTTGCCACCCAGACTCACCAGCGTTCTCCTAAGATGCTCAGGCTGGACTCAGCCCCTTCAGGACTCACACTGTCATCTTGTTGTCAATGTCCTCTGTTCTTCCCAGGAGGAGCAAGAGGAGACATTCAGGAAGAGGATGAGGGGAGATGGCCACCCTCTGTAGCATGGCCCTGCCCCCTTGGAGGCGGGAGTCCTTGGCCCCATGTATGAACCCCACATTCGGTGGTAGCAGAGGCCCTGCCCACTCCAAGCACCTCTGCCTGAAATCCTGCTTTCCTCTTTCCAGCAGAGTTTCTATCGAAGCCCCCAAGGACACTCTGCTGTGCTCAGAAAGCTGATCAGACCCTCCGCAGGACTCTGGGGCACCTGTGCTTGGCTCTTTCTGCACCTTCCCTCTTCACTGATCCATATGTCCATCTATTTATCTATTAATCTACCTATCTATCATCTATCATCCATCCATCCATCCATCCACCCATCCGTCCATCCATCCATCCCTCCCTCAGTGCTCACCCAAGCGTCTGTGGACTCCGGCTTTCAGAGCAGGCCAGGCCCTGTCTCTTGGGCGGCTGTGTCTTGACCCTTAATTTATCTGCAGCTTTGTACAAAGTTGTTCCAGGTAAACCTGTGCAGGACAAATGAATGAAAGAGGAGAGGAAGAAGGCTGCGGGCGGGGCACAGTGCTCCAGGTGTCTCTCCCGCCTGGGCATTTCCTGAGAGCCAGCGACGTGGTCTGCCTGGGTGAGACTGGTAGAGCAGAAATCTCAGGTGCCCCCCATGAGGAGAGGCACAAGGAGCCAAGGGGCTTGGGTTGGAGGCTGCACCAGGCCTGGCCCTTGGGCTTCTCCAGGGAGAACTGGGAGTGACCAGCCCTGGAAGGCCAGGAGGGTCCAGGTCTGGAGGGAAGAAAGACACACAGGACAGAATCTCTGCTGGACTCATCAGCTGAGCTGGTCTTGGGCTTGTGGGGCTTGTTCGAGTGTCAGAGGACCTGGTGCAGAGCTGAGCTGGCAGAATCAGGAGAGGGAGGGAGGGAGGGTCCAGTGAGCGTTTGCAAGCCTTTCTTTCTTAGGGTGCTAAGACAGTGCCACCCCAGGTCAGCAAGACTGGGGACAGGGTCCACCTGGAAACCAGCAGCTTCTGAAAGGTCCCCCACCCTCCTCCCATGTCTGCGTCGGTCCACACTCAAAGCAAAGCCAACCCTGGTGCTGCAGCTGGGCCCTGGGTGGCGGTCGGCTGAAGACAGACCCTCCTTGGGCTCCCCGCAGCCCTGCTGTGCTGCTGATTCACACACAATTAAGCTCCAGTAGGCCTCACAGCCTATGGACAGTTTAATTATTTGCTCCACGCATTGCAGGGGAGCAGGCACTTGATTTACCGATCGGCTGGGTCACAGAGTTAGCAAATTGATAAGCGCTGTAAACGATTTTCTGGTAGAGGCCCTCTTTCCCATGTTTTGCCCAATAATTAAAGATTAATTAAATACGACTGCTCCTAATGGGAAGTGCCTACCTGCTGTTTTGCTCATTGAGCCGGCGGACGGAGCAGAGCAGTGCACCCCTCACTGAGGACCCAGGCCAGGAGCGGGCACTGGGCACTGCCTGTCCTGTGTGCTGAGCCTGAGGTCATCTGTGTGCAGGACCTGGGCCGAGCCTTAGACTTCAGGGCCCTTGATGTGGCCAGAATGCTCTGCATTAGACTCATAGCCAGTCCCTGGCATGTAGCACGCTATTTCTCATTACAGAGTTCCACGGCCACTTTCTGTCCTGAATCCATCGCAGCTCAAGGCACATGCTTTCACATCCCTGGAAGCAAGAAAGAGGATCAGGAAAAACATTAAAATCACAAAACCCCAATGAAGAGGAAAATGCTTAGAAATATTGGCATGTGTGCCCTTCAAGCTATTACCCATACACGAGTGTACATAGGAGTCATCCGTGTTCACATCATATGATATGGTGCTGTCATTCCCCAGAGTCTGTCTTTTTTTTTTTTGGTTTTTTTTTTCTGGTACCGGGAATCGAACTCACGACCTTGTGCTTGCCAGGCAGGCACTGTGCCGCTGAGCTAAATCCCCAGTCCCCCCCAGAGTCTGGAGGTGGCCTCTAGGGTCCCCCAAGGATGCTAAAGTCCAGCCCTTTATATAAACGGGGGCTGTGTTTGTATAGCGTCCACACATCTCCTGTGGGTTTTAAAGTATCCCTAGATTACTTACACACAAGGCAGGCACATCCGCTGCCAACAGCTGTCACACGTACGGTGTCGTGTGGGGGCTGGTGACAGACGTCTGAACGTGTTCAGTAGAGACGCCTTCTCTCTCAAGTATTTTTGATCCACACTTGGCCGAGTCCACTGGTGTGGACCCACCGGGCAGGGGGCTGACGGCACGTAGTAGAGCAGCTGGCAGGCAATGCTGTCCTAAAGGTGCCTGGGTCACAGTTCCTGACCTTGTGAGTCCGTCGCTTCTCGGGAGGTGAGGTTGCAGGTGGGATTTCATGCTGCCGAAGCCAGTCCTGTGTTGAGTTATCCAGGCGGCCGCATGTCTCTGGGGCTTGCACGTGGCAGAGGCGGACCTTGCCTCCACTGCTGGCGGGGAGCGGGGGCACAGGGCCTCGGGCTGGAACGGCAGGAGGCCCCGAGGATGCCGCCTGCCGCACCTTGATTCGGACCCACAGAGCTGCATGTTTGAAGATCTGGTCGTCTTCAGCGCCGAGGTCTGTGGAGCTGATCACAGCAGCAGTGGGAAGTGGGTGCAGAAGTGAAGTCTGCGTTTGTTTTATTAATTTTTATTTTAGTACCTGTTTGTAGTACATGGAGTTTACATTTATCTTGGGAAGTGCACACCTGTGTACTATACAGGTCACCTCTTTTGAAAACCCCCTTCCACCCCTACCTCCGGCCCTGAACCCCGATGTGTGCGCGGAGGAAACTAATCACCTCAGTGCATGGAGACACTGTGTGTCACAAACACGAGCTGAGGACAATAACAATAAGGAATGTGAAGACGGGCGTGGGAAGCTGACACATCTGGTTTCGAGCGGCTCCTCCCTTTCCCTCAGTCCTGAGCTGGCTCTCCCTGAAGCAGCCCGCGTGGAGTCTCTGTCTTTGGAAGTTTGCTAGGTTTCTGTCTCACGCAGCCTTTCCCAGGGCTTTTGGGCAGAAGAGTCCTCAGCTGTGATCTTAATTTTTTAAGTAAGTACTAGGTATTGAAGTTCTCTATTTCCAGCTAGTTTTTGTATTTTACTATTTTAATACATATTTTCTAGATTTTCAAATGTGTCTCTATGTAATGGGTGATGTATTTCTTAACATATTACACTTAACATAATTTTTGCTTATTTATTCTACTTTATCTGTATTTGTCCATCTCCCTGGTTTTTTTTTTTTTTTTTTTTTTTTCATAATTTCAGAATTAGGAATGTGTGCTCTAGAAATTTCTTTAAATTCTTTTGACCCAGCTGTTTCCCTTCTAGGTATTTTCCAGAACGTGTTAAAGGCCTCATATCACAGTAATCCGTGTATGCCCATGTTTCTAGCAGCACAAGTCATCGTAGCTAAATCTTGGAAGCGGCCTGTATGGCCATCACAGATGAGTGGATAAAGAAAACGTGGTATCTTCATGTAACGGAGTACTATTCTGCCATAAAGGATACACTCGAGTTATTTGTAGGAAAGTGGATGCACTTGGAGACCATAATGCTAAGTGAGATAAATCAGACACACAAACTTCAATGTCACATGGTTTCTATTATATGAAAATCCCCAAATATAGAAAGGAACACAATAGAAACATAGATAATAGGAGGTAGGGGGATGGATCTTCCTCAGATGGGAAGGGCACCTAGAGGTGAGATGGGGGAGAGAAGGGAGTAAATAAAGGAGTGGGGGGGTGTTCTGTGTGAGGACCAACTCCACACAGGGAAGTGAACATTACGTACCGCAGCCGTGCGCACATGCAAAGGAAAGACCAGGTTCTGCCTTCTTTCCTGTTGGATTCCCCTCTCTACTTCACTGAAGTTTTGGCTTAAACACTATTTGTAACTGACAAACAATGAGTGCACATCTGCTCCTGCAGCGCACCGTGTGATGTGTGATCCGCGGCACGATTTAACATCTCCCTCCCTGCACTTTCCTAGTGTTTGGTTTTTTGGTGGTGAGAAAATTGCCTCAGTTGGCGACTTCACAGAGCACAGTGCGTTGTTATTAACTACAGGCTGCCCCGTGTGTGGGGGTCAGAGGCTCCTTCTTGCCGTCTGACCCGGCCTCACACAGGCAGCCCCACAGACGGCCGGACGTGCAATGCCGGACGTGCAATGCCGGACGTGCAATGCCGCATGTGCAGCGCCTGCTCCCCTCTTGTTTCCACATTTCTTGTATCTTTGGGTTGCTCTGCTGTATTTTTCTGCCTTCTTGAGGTAAAAAATTAGCTCTCACTTGAATCTTGCTTGGTAATCCCTGTACAGCTGTCCATTAGCCACCTAAGTGCTTCACCTGTGTCACAGCCTTTTACGCGTTTCATTCACTTCTAAATCTTTTAACGGTTCCGTATAATCCCAGGTTGGTGCACTAAAACGCGTCTCCACTCTAACACATATTGGTAATTTGAAGAATTTTGGTAATTAACGTCAGAATTGTTTAAAATGTAGCTGAGATTTTTCTGTATAATATTGAAACTTAGGAGTTCCTGAGACTTTTATATCTACGCTTACACATATTCCATGTGCACTGATTGTCAGTCTCTCTCTGTCTCTGTCTCTCTGTTTTCAGCTGCTTGATCAAAGTGGTTCTCAGAGCAGTTGAAAGGAGCCACCTCCTCCAGGGTGGCTGTCCCTGGGGCGGTGCTCTCCAGCCGTGCGGAAGGGAGTGGTGTGCTAAAGAGGCAGTGGGGGCGCTGTGTGTCTGGGAGCACCGGCCCGCTGACTGGAGATCTTGCTAGGTGCGTTTTCTGTGCAGAGTGTCCTGGCTGCTGGCTGCCTAGCAGGGCTCACGTTCTCACCTTACCTCTCTGCAATGTCCAGGGCTGCCCGTCTTCCCCTGCTGCCTCCCACTTGGCCCCTGCAGACCAGGGACCATGGGTCTTCCGAGGGCTCATTCCCCCGGGGAGCAAGTTCAAACCCTTCAACTTTCTTGTTGAAGAAAGGCCCTCTGTGTTTTACTTGATACTTGTTCTTTATCATTATTTATTATTTCTCATTTACCCATTTGTTTGGTTTATTTTTGTTACTTTCTTATTTTCCATCAGTTAAATTTGGTTTTCTTTCTTGGTAAGTTACATATTTTATCTTACTGGTGATTACTTTTCGGATTATACTCTCGTTTGCTGCTCTTAATCTTCCTCCTTGTCAGTGTTTATTCTGCTCCTCTGAGAAGAGGACTCTTCCTACACTCTCGTTCCTTTCTGAGTTGTGAGTGGTCTTCTTTTTTCTCTCTTTGTTAGCTTAGCTGACTTTATAACTTTTGAGACAACAGACTAGACACTGCTTTACCACCCAGAATTCTCATACTGCTTGTGACACCTCTGGGTTTGTGGGGTTTATTTGAAGAATCCAAGTGTCTCTCTTTGGTTTTAGCAACTCACACATACACAACAATAGGACTAGAAGATAATTTCTACATTTAGACTCCGGTCAGTGCTCACGGCAGCGGCATCTGCTGGATACTGAACGCCCCCCAGCCAGGCTGGGACTCTGTGGACCGATGTGTCGCCCACTCCCCCGTGCTGCGTCCGGTGCCCTGCATTCCCACCTGCCCTCTGGGGATTGCCCAGCCTCGTTTTCTTCCCTTTGCTCTCACACGTCCGAAGGTCCTTGTGTCGCATCGTTCTTCCTTCATTGGTGACTGCTGGGCTCCGGCCTCCTGTGTCCGGAGGCAGAGGGTCGTCGGGGCCTCCTGTCTCTGTGCCTCCTGTCTCTGTCCCGAAGTGAAAGAACAGAGGAGCCGGCTGAGGTCCGGACCCCTGTTGGTCATCGGGGCTGCCTTCTGGTCCCGCCCTCTCCGACTCCTCCCCTCCAGCTCCTTGCCCCTGTCTGGCGCAGGCCCTGTCTGGCAGGGCTCTGCCTTCCCAGGCTCCCGCTTTGGAACTTGCAGGGCTCCCTTAGAGCTCTTCAGTGCAGATGCTAATACACATACACATCTTCCACACAAAGAGAATTTACATTGTGTGCATCTAATAAAGAGTGGGCAAAAAATAGTTAAATAAAATTGCATAAATGACAAATAAAATATGATCCATCCTGTTAGAAATTTAAAGGTCCTAAGAGAAACACAAAGGCCTCTTCCCCAGGCAACATTGAAAGGCTTGGGGTCAGAGGTCAGAGGTTAGAGGCTGTGCCGCTGTGGTGTGCAGGGGCTCTGTTCATGGCGTCTGCAAGGGATCTGGGGTCTCCAGGACCCAGCAGTGCAGACCCATTGTCCCCGAGGGAGGTCCAGACCCGCCGCTCCGGCCCATCCTCGGCCTGCAGTAGCCCCGGTCCCCAGGCCTTCTCAGAGCCTGGAGGGCGTCTGGTCCTGGAGGAGGTGCTGGGGCCAGCAGAGTCTGTCCCTCTCAACTTTGTGAGTGAGCAAGATGTGGTCCAAAGTCCTCTCCAGCCTCCAGAACTCGGGGTGAAATTTGGCCTGGGCTGAGGCACTCAGAGGGTGGGGCCGAAGTCCACCTGGGGTCCTCAGGTTAAATGTGGTCAAGGGAGCTGCAGGGGTGTGTTCGTGGGGGCTGTGTGAGAGGAGATGCCAGAGGGAACACTGTCCACACTGAAGCCCTGTGCCCACTTGGGACTCCGCAGAGTCCACCAGACCGTGCCACCCAACTCTGGACTTCTCAGCCTACCACCAAGGGACCGAAAGTCCCCTGTCCTGCTGGTCACCCACGTGCGCGCTCTGTGTTAGATGAGGCAGGCAGCCAGCTTACCTTGGCCGGCTCAGCTTGGCTCCCTCAGGGGCGAGTGTGAAGGTTCCTGCCTGACTGCCGGGTGAGCCTCTTTCTTTGACAACTTGGCAATTGGCTCCTCCCTCCAAATGGCCCATTTGGGCCCTTGGGTGGGGTTCAGGGTGTAAACGTAAGGAGAGCCCCCCGTGCCCGAGGGCATGCTGCACCTCACCTCCCCTAGCCTACTTGTTGTTCTTAATTAGAATTGACAGCGCACCTCCGTTTGATTGGTCTTTTTAGAGAAAAGATTCTGGGACTTAATTATTCTACTGCACACCGTTCCTGAGCCATTACTTTCTGCTCCTGAGTTAATTAAGCCCTTTCTACTTTCTGTTGGCTTTTGGTTGGTCTCTTTCTAATTTCCTAGATTTAGTGCTCATTTTATTTTTCTATTGTTCCTCTTTAAAGTGGGAATGGTTTTAGAAGAGATGAAGACTAGCCAGAGCAGAGTTTTGGCCTCATCTCTAAAGTTCTTAGATGGATTATTTTCTTAATAAATCATAATGACAGCTGTGATTTCCATCTTTGTCCTCAGATTGGGCAAAAAGGTAAGTTTCCTCTCCTCCTTCCCAGCATTGTGTCCTTGTAGATTAAAGTTCTGTTTGTGTTGTTCTCTATTATTATTTGATATTACTCAGGGAACCTTCTCCATGTAAACTCTACCCTGCAAGTTATTGAACTGTGGTCTGTTTGTGTATGGGCATGGTAGTATTTATTTTTAAAATATTTCCTGAGCAATTAAAATAAACTTCTTGCTTCTCAGTTACTTGTTCAGAACTTTTAGGATCTCACTTATGTCTACTGGGGGTGCTGAGCACAGAAACGTACATGTGTGAAGCCCCTGACTGTGCCTCGGTGTACTTCTCCCTGC